CTGCCATAGTAGTTGTCATGATTCCCAGCATCAGACAGTGGACTTGGTACATTCTCAAAACGTTTCGCCGACATCATCAGTGAGTTCTGCCATTCTCCGTACCAAGCTACTAACTCGCCAAAGAGACAAGCGAAGTCAATCTTGCGACAACGTTCTGCCGAAAACGGTTACATTATCACCTTTACTTCTGTCCTGGCTTATCTATCTATTCTTTACCCTGTAATCCCACTTTTGGGAATCATGACAACTACTATAGCAGACGACTTCGGACTAGGTGTGTTCTACTGAGTCCTCCTAACAACAAGACCAAGTTGCAACAACGAGGTCAACCCACTTCTACAAATTGAAAAAAAACTGCGACCATACCAGAGGCCACAACATCTTGGTCTTCATATCTTTAATTAAACTAGGGTATAAACTTTATTTTGGAATATAAAGGAGATTTACGGCATTTTTGTAGCGCTTATTGCTTAGGTCTAATTCCGTCGGGCCAGAGCCGGCGAAACTTCTCGGATTCAATTGATGCACTTTCGTAATTTAAATGTCTTGCAAATTCTGGACAAGAAGGCTTTTAAATGGGCCCTTTACAAAAAGTACATATTATTCTTTGCCTAGCGAGAATCATAAATATCGTTTCTTCATATTCACTTTGTCATCTTTTTGAGTGCCCTATTTGTTAGTTGGTCCACCGATATTTCTTTTATATTTCTCTGAGCCTTCTTACATGCTCCGAATGGGGGAACCTCTTATTTTCCATTTGGCTTAATGCGATTCTTTGACCAACTTATTTGGCGTTTTAACAGTTTTCGATGTATTTACACTCTTACCCGAATAATTTATCTAAGCAGGAGGGCATAAAGATTTAATTGGATTGACGGCTCCTATATCAGTACGCCATTATTGACAGTTCTTTCTCCTTTAATTAACTTTTCGAAATTAGCTTGTTTCTATTGACGACTAAGTTGAATTAAATTCGGATGTTATTTTCTCTATATGATTGATCATTTTCGCACGTATTTTTAGTACTGTAAGCCTCCTGACCTATGGTTTGTATTCAAAACAGGCTAACTGAGCGTAAAGAAGTTGTTTCACCTTGTTTT